ATAAATATACAACTTAATTTCATTTTAGGCCCTGATTTGAAAAGAAAGTTCCTTTTATATTTAAAACAAAGTTTACTTTTTATCTTTGACATGCATGCTGATTTATTGTATTTTTCTTAAAAAAAAAGTTTTTTTTGAGCTGTTTATAGTTATACTGTAAATGTCAGTCATGGAAACAACAAAATCAAGAATACAGTGCGAGTAGATTTAGGCTTATTGCGATACGGGCCGGAGGGTTGAGGCTAACATTTGATGTACTTGCCTACCTGGTATGTCTTGTACACGGGGTACTTTTTTTTTCTTTCATAAAATAAATGACAAAATGCCTTTTATTTTGTGTTTACTTTCAATTTTTGCTCATTTGTTTTACGTGGACATACCTTGTTTTGCAGTTTTGTCAGGATCTTACCATAAAAACGTATTTTAATTATTCATAGCTCATCATTTGATTAGTTATAAAATAGAACAGAACAATATGAAACTACATGGATCCTCTGATATTTGGGTAAACTAACCGAATCTTTTTCTGTCTGAAGTGTCACTGAACTACCACCTCTGACCACTAGAAGGTAGCAGTGTCTCATTTCTGCTAGAGTTGATTATGTCTGGTATGATTGCTAGTTTTACTGTAATGTTACAAATGATTATAACAGTAGTTCTATAATAATCCTCCAAATATAACTACAGTGCTAGAGTTCTCTGTCCTTGGGTGTTATATAACCCCAAATGGATGTCACATCCATTTCCGTTACTGTAAGTAGGTTTCACCAGCTCATGATAAATACTAGGGAGTAACAGAAGTGATACTGGCCCAATCATTTATTCAGTTACACATGTATACTGCACATCCTTAGGGGTTATAGTCACACTTTCTGAGGAGAGAACATGTGACCTTGTTGCTGCAGTGTTTAGAACATGGTCCACTAACACAATACTGCAGAGACCAAGATGGATCAATGCTTTGAGTCTTGTGACAGCTACTCACATCTGCCTCAAAAAGCCATCTTTCATCCTGAATGTGCTTTAACCAGTGTTTATATTGATCCCAGGGCAAATTAGTCACACTACAGCAAGTTTCCTTCCAGACAAGCAGAACATACGTGTCTCATATGTAAATGCTTTCACTGAGGTGAATTGAGTGAGACTTTTAATATGTTACTAAGTTTTATGAATATAAAGTGGAAATGTATTTGAATTACACATGTGCTATATACATTACTTGGCTCACATATTAAGCTGATCAAGACTACATTACATGATTGAAGTCTCCCAGGAATCTTATCAAACCTATCCACAAAAGTAGTAGGATTGCATAGTAATAACAAAAATAATGTGTGATAATGATCAGCTGAATGTACATTTTCTTCACATGTTCGTATTTATTGTG